TGTACTCAGGTACAAATAGAGTAAATAAAAAACCTTTAATGTAATAAATAATACAAAGTCTATGAAGAAATGCATGATATTCACTTGCTATTTTATTCCCGGTGCTTGTTACACAGTGGGCATGCGTTAATGTGGGCATGTGTTAATGTGGGGCATGGGTTAGTGTGGGCATGCGTTAATGTGGGCATGTGTTAATGTGGGCATGGGTTAGTGTGGGCATGCGCTAATGAGGGCATGGGTTAGTGTGGGCATGCGTTAATATGGGCATGCGTTAATGTGGGCATGCGTTAATGTGGGCATGGGTTAATGTGGGCATGGGTTAGTGTGGGCATGCGTTGATATGGGCATGGGTTAGTGTGGGCATGGGTTAGTGTGGGCATGGGTTAGTGTGGGCATGGGTTAGTGTGGGCATGGGTTAGTGTGGGCATGCGTTAATGTGGGCATGTGTTAATGTGGGCATGAATTAATGCTTTGCTGTTATTGGTTCTGTACATCTCAATGAAAACATTTTATTAGTTTTTGGGGAACCAAACTCTTGACATTTAGAAGTGTGAACCGGCCTTTAGTGGCTGAGTTATCTCTCCAGTTCTTCCTTGGCCTTTTGGAATATAACCCTACCCCCTGGAAGAACGTTCTAGCATACTGGAACCAGCACATGGCTTCCTCTCTGTTGACTCTGCTTGGCCTCAGCGTAGCTTGCTTGTGCTTCTTGTCCGCGTGGTGAAACCTGGCCTGCTCATCACCACATGGAAGCCCAGGCCAGAGACACCAACACTTGGGTCATGTCTGATGCTCAGGTGACTGTCTTCCTGGGTCTCAAAGCCGAAGCTGAGTCTTTCCTAAGTCATACACCAAACCTTTAGCCCCTTCTCTTGAACCTCTTCCTTCCCCACCCCACTGCTTTTCCGTGTGAACCGCAATCCTTTTATCTCTCTGATGCCAGTATATCTAGCTTTGAAGAACATGGAGGAGGCTGGCCTGCAAGCTGTCTGTCTGCCCTGCCCTCCAGACAGACACAGGCAGAGTTCACCCCATCTGCCCTGATGGAGACCAGGAAACCTCACTCACTTCTGTTCGATGAATGAATCCAGCTGATCTGATCCTCTTGTCTTTTTAGCTTCCCCAAAATAGCTGCGTTTTCTTAGAAAACAATGCAGTTCTGCTAGCATCGCACCCCACCTCAGCTTCTTCAAGAATTCTCATTGTCTGTGAGATGAGCTACAAACTCTCCAGTCTCACATTCCAGGTCTTTCCTGGTCTGGTTCCAAACCATTTTTCCTGGCCTGTGTCACAACCTTTATTCTCCCCTCCTCCTCAGTTGCCAGAAACTTTCCCAAGAGCACTTGGCCATCTATATACACTATTCCCTCTGTGGGGAACAACCTTCCCCTGAACCTCGTTTTTCAGTTGATAGCATTCACTTGCCCTTCAACACGCAGACACACACACAGACACACACACACACAGACACACACACACAGATACATACACAGACATACACAGACACACACACAGATACTTACACAGACACACACACAGACACACACACAGATACATACACAGACACACACACAGATACATACACAGACACACACACACACACACAGACACACACACAGATACATACACAGACACACACACAGACACACACACAGACACACACAGATACATACACAGACACACAGAGACACACACAGATACAGACACACACATAGACATACACAGACACACACAGACATAGACACGACACATATACAGACACACACACAGACACACACAGACACATACGACACACCCAGACACAGAGACACACAACTCAAATGTCACTTCCTCTGCAGCCTTCTCTTACTCCCATGCTTTGAGCTTCTGTAGAACCCAGCCTGTAATTCTCTAATTGCCTGCTTCCCGTTCTATTACAGTTGGCTTTCTCCTTTCTGTTTGTTTTGTGTTTTGGGGTTCTTTTTTGCAAGTTCCCAGAGCACAGTTTACAGGGACTGGGTGTTAACATTTTGTTTGTTTTGCTGTGAGTCAGGGTTTGTTGCAGCCCAAGCTCATCTTGAACTCTGCATGGCCACAGATAATCCTGAGCTCCTGGCCCTCCAGAGCCCTGGGGCTAAAGCACGTGGCACCCTGCCTGGCTAGGTCACCTCACCTCTTCTTTACCACCTCCACCAACCGTCACCCAGTCCCAGCAGCCATCGCTTCTCCCTAGTGCTGTGAAACAACACCTGCCCGCCTGCGGCCGTATTTCCACGCTCCCCACCTATGGGGACACCATCCGTGGTGATAAGACATCCTATGATCAAAGGTCTTTAAGTATCTGGCCCCCACCTTCCTGCCCACCACTTCTGGCTCACTGCAGACCTTCCTGCCTCTTGGCCTTCTTGGGCACAAGCTCTGTTCTCAGGACATTTGAATCTCTTCCTCTGTGAAAACTCTTTTCCCAGGTGGATATATGACTTGCTTTTTTTTGTTTGTTTGTTTGTTTTCTGATAAAAAATAAAATTCCCCTTGCAGGGATGTCTTCCCTGGCAGCTGTCTAAACGGGAGCATAGTGCATTGGCAAATGCTCGCCAGCACATGCTAGGCCCAAATTCTAACCCTTGCCCTGCTTAACAAAGGAACAGTGCTTGTTGAGTAGATGTTTCCCTGTATGCACATGTGCAGACACCCGGTCGCATACACATGTATCAGATACCTAACAAATTCACAAATCTTAATTCCAGCTCACATCCAGGATTATCTGAGCTGTGAATACATATGTCTCAGCCATTTGTTCTATGAGCTTAGTTCTGATTTATTTCACTTGCTTTAATAATCGTGTGACAACCAGGTTCTTAGGGTTTTCAGATGAGTGGCAGGCAGAGGTCTTTCTCAGGAGTGCTTAGGTTTCAGAAAGGCTAGTGATGGGCATGGCAGGGATTTAGAATCAGCCCTTTGCTGCTCATTGGCTGCTGAGAGATTCTGCTCAGTTCACCTCCTGAGGTTTATGTTGCGTGTACATTGTATTTAATCCTCCAAGCACTGGTTATTCTGAGGTCTGGAGCAGGTTAGATACTGCCCAAGGATAGTTCTGTTAGGTAGACCCTGTTTTTCCCATCAGACGTCCCAAGCGTTTTTAGGGTTGCAATCCCCTCTTGCCCCCCACAACCTCACCCCCACCCCCACCTCTCATCCCCACCCCAATCCTCCATACTGGTTGTTAAGAACCTGAGCCATTCATACTGGTCAGTAGTGGTGCACACTTTTAATCCCAGCACTAGTGAAGCAGAGGCAAGCAGATCTCTGAGTTCAAGGACAACCTGGTCTACCAGCGAATTCCAGGTCAGCCAGGGCAACAGAGAGAACCCCGTCTCAAAACAAACAAAAAAACCTGATCCACTTTGATGAGGCAATTCTGGAAGTCATATTAAGTGAACTGGGAACAAATTGTAAAATTTTCCTTGTTCCTTTGGTCCTGTGCAATTGCTTTCCTGGGCTATCCTGGTTTTTTGTTTGTTTGCATGTTTTGCATTTTATATGTTTGCCTGCTTGTTTTGAAACAGGGTATCACTCTGTAGCCCTGGCTGGCCTTTAACTCACCCGCTGTGTAGAGCAGGATAGCCTCACAGAGATCTGCCTGCCTCTGTCTTCTCAGTGTTGGGATTAAAGGTGTGCACAACCATGCCTGGGTTTTTTGTTTGTTTGTTTGTTTTTTGTTTTTATTTTTTGACAGGGTCTCAAGTAGCCCAGGCTAGCCTGGAACTCTTTATGCAACCAGGACTAGCCTCTTCTAAGTCTTGAGCTTCTAATTCTCCTGTTTGCATCTCCCAAGGCATTAGAGGCATGTGCCACCACACCCAGCTTCCCCCACCCCCAAAAGAGGAAAAGGACATAGTGCTGCTCTTTAGTCCAAGCTGGCCTCAAGTTCACAGCAATCCTCCTGCCTCAGCCTACAGGAATGCACTGCCACATCCAGATCCATTTCTTTCTTGGGTGAACATGAATAAAAGTACACCATGCAGAACAGAGGGACCTCCTCGAAGCCTGTGTACTATTGTCTGCCCATCTATGGCAACGAGGCCAGGCAGTGAGCAGGTTATAGCGGCAGAGTCTAGAACAGGGAGAGGTCCCCACCTCCAAATCTTATCTCTTCCACCACTAAACACCAGTGGAAGAAGGGCCTCAGAGATGCAGAAGAAAGAGATCCCATTCACCGGGTGTGTGCCCTGTCCAAGCACCCGGTCCAGCCTTTCGTGTGTCCTGTGTCTTTTGATGTCACTGAATTTAGTTTGGAAGAATCATTTGCATTTCCCAGAAGAGGGGAAACAGGCTCAGGGAAGTTGATGACACTTGCCCAAGCTACCCAGATGGCAAGCAGCAGAGCTGGGATTTGAGATTGAAACCAGCCCAGTGTGACTTCCTGGCTGCCTACCAAGGGCAGGAGCCTCCCAGCAGCTATAAGGGCAGGAGGTGGTTGGGGAGAGAAACAAGCGCGGCAAATGGATCCCTACCCAGGAACTTGATCACCACCAGGCACTTCGGGGACAGGTAAACCTCAGCCAGTTGCCACCTGGCTCTTCTTCTGTTGTAACAACTGTAAATTCAGTAGCTGACTTACCGGGGCTATTACAGTCCCACAGCGCTCTGTGGAGGGTGGGTGGACAGATGCACAGATGCATTCCTTCTAACATTGTTCTTCCAGGTCATCTGGCTCCTGTGTTTGGGTGGTGTCACACAGTGCCCGCATTCTGAGTCTCTAGTGTCCTGTACCCCTTTTGGTCCTTTTGCCAAAGTTGTTCCCTTTGAAGAGTGTACCTTTGCTTACGTTCAGGGGGTGACTAACCGATCCCGGGCACGGTGGGATCCTGCAGACATGATAATAAGTGGCTTTGCCGGTCTTTTTGGGGAGGTTCGCCTGCCCCTTCCCTAGGTCTCATGTTCAATGCCGCAGCGCCCCCTTGGCCACCAGAGGCGCCCGGAAACGGGACTCCCCGAGCGCGGGGCGGGGCGAGGGGCGGGGCGCGGCGGCACCTGGGCCGCGGGAGAGCTGGGGGTGGGCTCTCGGGGGACAGCAGGCTGCCCCCCAGATCCGCAGCGCCGGCCGCCGGGAGCTCCGGGCTCCGGGCGCAGAGGCTGCGCTGTCACATGGGCGGCGGCGACGGGGCCGCATTTAAGCGGCCAGGGGACGGCGCCCGCCTGCAGCGTGTCCTCGGGCTCGGCTCCCGGCGGGCGCCCCGCTCCCTGCCCTCCGGGGGCCCCGCACCACCCCCGGCGGGCCATGCGAGCGCGGGCCCCGCCGCGATGAGCTCGCACATCGCCAAGAGCGAGTCCAAGACGTCGCTGCTCAAGGCGGCGGCGGCGAGCGGGGGCAGCCGGGCTCCCCGCCACGGCTCTGCACGGGACCCCGCGCTGCGTGGCCGCCGACTGACCGGTCCCTGCCCCAGCTCGCCGCCACCGTGCGGGGACCCCAGCTCGCGGAGGCCCCTGTGCCGGCCCTTGCCACGCGACGAGGGCGCGCGCGGGAGCCGGCGTGGGCTGCCCCAGGCGCACTGCAGGCCCCGGGAGACGCTGCCGCCGGCCCGCGGGAGCGATGGGGAGGAACGGGGGCTGGCGCCGGCGCTCGGTCTACGGGGCTCCCTGCGATCGCGGGGTCGCGGGGACCCGGCTCCCACCGGTGCCCCCGAGGCGGACCCGTTCCTCCACCGACTGCACCCCATGCTCAGCTCCGCCTTCGGCCAGGTAAGGGCCGCGCCCCTCGCCCGCGCTCGGGGCACCGGCGCTCGGGACCCTACGGCGGCGGCGCGTCCCTGGCCCTGCTCGCTCTGCCCGGTCGGGGCGCACCACGACTCATCTTGTCCTCCCGAGGCCCTGGTGCTCCTCCACCCCCGTGTCTGATTCAGCACCCTATGCGCTGTCCACACTCGGGGCCTCTTCCTGGGCATCGCTCAGCTGAGCCTGCTTCGCACCTGCAAGAGCGACCTCCCGCAATCCTCCCGGAGATTTCCCCGGTTCGCAAGCGGTGCTTGGAGCAGGCGGTGCCAAACCGCTCCTCTGGCCTCTGGCGACCCTAGAGAGCCAAGGGCTTGGGGTCTGAGAGGCAAAGGGGAGGACTGGGAGTACTCGGACTTGCTTGTGGATGTGTGACGCTAACCGTTAACTAGAGTGTCCTCAAAGGTCTGAGAAAAGTTAGGCGATTAGAAAGATGGGGAGGAGAAGAGATGTCTGGGCAGGCATGGAGGGTCTGTCCAGAGATACAGCTCCATCTGGAACTTTGGAGGGTTTTAAGGAAGATGGTATTCCAGGGATGCCATCTGGATGACATTAAGACAGTTGTGGGATAAAACCCAGAAAACACAAGCTTGAGTTGGCGTGCATTCTAGGGTCAGGGAGGCCACAGAGCCGTGGTCACCAGAGACCCTCTTTGTTTCTCCCACACTTTGCCCGCAAGGATTCCAGCCAGCAGGGCATTTACAAACAGCTTCGCCCTATAGTTCAAGGCTACAGTGTGGGATTGTGCCCCAGGAACCTGTGAACTTCTGAGCAAAGCCAAGATTTCCTCTGGTTCCGAGTCCGTAATTGAATGGAACTTGTGGCCGTTAGTTCTGCAGAGGTGCGATCAGAATGCTGGCATGGTTTCAGACGCAGGGGTCTAAGCGTTTCTGTGGTCGTTGCTAGTGCAGAGAAGCCACCTCAAGCTCGCGGCTGGCTGTGTGGAGTCAGCACTACAAGGAGGCCGTGTGTGTTTTGCCTCAGATCTGCTCGTTTCTTTTCAAAACACTACTCTGCAGTGGCTTGTGCAGGTGGGGCTCTGTCATGAAGGCAGCTGCTCATGGATTCGGGTTGCACGGGACTGCTGTGCCGGTGTGACAGGGCCGGCAGCACATGGCTTTGTTCCTGCAGGGAGCCCTCGTTAGCGGTTCACTGAGAGAACTGGACCGGTGCTCAGGAGTAGAGGTTCGGCTGCAGAGCCCTGAGAGAGTTCTCCTGGCCACATGCCGAGAGGCGATGTTCACTGCAGTTGCTTGGAACCGTAGCGTGTTAGGACTGATCTGTGGGTCTAGGCTGGGTTGTGACCCAAATGCTACGTTGTTAGTGGGTGATTGCGGTTCCCTCAGTTACCAAGCATTGAATACCCCCCCCCCCCCGCACCCGGGCATTGGTGGCACACTAGGAAGGAGCAGTGGAAAACATAGCCAAGATTTGGGCTGTTTCGGAGCCCATAACACAGCAGTTTGGAAGGGGCTCACTCACTGCCAGTGATCTGGGGAAAAGGACCTTACTCTTGCAAAATTTGCCTGCATGGGCCTATCTGGACTCAGACCCCTTCAGCAACCTGCTACTCAGTTCTTCCGACTTCCCAGCCATTAAGTGGAGACTATTCTCCAGCCCCATGTTCTGAAATGTCACAGGGTCACTTGAGTCAGGAGGAGCTGGAAGGTCCCATGAAATATTTACTACCTCCCTCAGGAAGCTCCGGCCTCTTGGAGCTGCAGAATCCCCCCACCCCCACCACAGCACATTCAATTTGAGTTTCCTGGGTGACACCTCCAAGGCATCCAGGTGATCATGGACAGCAAAACCAGCCTGGAGTTTTTGTGTCAGAGTCCTCAGTATCCTGCGACGTAAGGGGATTATCTTCCCTTGCCATCTCTTTTCTGCATTGACCTTTCTGTCCTTAGAGACAGGGTGGGGACTGGGAGGAAGCAAAATGGGGTCCTGAATATAGACGTTTTCAGATGGCTCTGCTTAGGGCTCATGCCTCTTATCTTAACGTCTTTATTTTTTACCTTCTTTTTGGACTTAAATGAATTGCTTTCTTTCAGTGACACTTTTATTTACTTGAAAAATAGAAATCAATCCTAGTGTCTCGAGGAGAATTGGGGGGTTGAATGATTTACGCAGGCATGTGTGTAGAGCGCAGTCCGTTGCGTGGCGCAGAGCAGAGGCGGCGGCTGTGTTTGTTACCGTTGTTGGTGATGGTGGTTAACTCCCAGGATGCATTCTTTCTGTCATTACAGCAGCAGAGAGAACCAGGATTAGGCACACTAGAGGTGTCCGGATAGACTCCTCACACTTGGGGAAATGGGAGATAAGATTTGCTGCCTGCAGGGGGATAGAGTGGTTTTGAGGCTGGGGTGTGGGGTGGTGGCTGGGAGGACGTTAAGCCCTTGTTTCCGATCCTGCCTCTGCCACTTTGTGTATTTGTGACCTTGGCATCCTTCTCTCTATGGCCTTGGTTTCTTCATCCAGAAATGAGACTGAGGAAACAGTACCTCGCAAGGCTCTGACAAGGCTCACACAAAATTAAGGCTATCAGAGGCCTGGCTCACAGTGAGTGCAGGCGAAAGAGCAGCCTGCATTAATGCGACTGCTCTCATTAATAGTCATTAAAAGAGCATTGTCTGCAGAAGTGCTGTGTAAGGGACACTGCCTCCATGCCGGGTGAGAAGGGCTTAAAAGGAAAGGGCTCTGAGCCCAATGCCAGGGAACCGTCCCTCGTTCTGCCAGCGAAGGACATGCCATCCAGCTGTCCTGGCAGACTACGTGGTGTGACAAATGAGTAAGCAGGACGCAGTGCTTTGGGTCTCGGAAGACTGTGATACGCACAGACACGGCCTCTGCTCTTGCACTCAGCCCGAGAAGAGGCGAATGCAAATAAAACCCACAGCTCTGGCCCCACCCTAGAGAAGCATCCCTCTTTACCAGGGGGTCAAGCCCAGTGTATATACAACATGTAAAAGGATCATAGTGTTCGTAAATGAATGAGTAACTGATGTCACCTGTGTTCGGGTTACGTAGGATTCCTAGTTCCTGTGGTATGGGTGAAGAAGAGGCCAGGGTCATGATGGTTTGGGTCCTTTGGGTTCAACCGCACCAAACCTGTGTCTTGAAGGCCTGTGAATATTCATTCCTGCCTCACCAGCTCTCCTCTGGGCCTGGAGATGAGGGAAGAGAAGGTCAGCTTGTGGTTTGCATCAATCATGGATGAGAGAAGTGGCTGAGTCAGTTGGATGAGCATCCTCTGGATGTCTGGATTCTGCATTTGCCTACAGCTGTTTCCGACAACCAATGAGATACTCAGGACCTCAGTCCAGAGCCTACTACAGAATTATCAGTCTGTCCTCATTATCTCCACAGCAACCTGGGAGGGTTGGCGTTATCATCCCCCATTCTAGAAATGAGGACACAGGCTCTGGAGAAGGCGGCGCTTGCAGAGGTCACATAGTAAATAAATGCTAGCACCTGCCACCTGAGTGGCACCGTGCTGGCTGGGAAGGGAAGGTGTCATAAGTGTCCACAGGGCACCCTTCCTGTGTACCCCAGCTTCCACTCTGAGCACCCTGGCACTAGGTTGTCACCCAAGTTCATATGATGGATCTGATCAAGACCTAGAGTCAGCCTCTCCCTAATCAGGGATAACCGCTGATGAGCTCTCCTCTCATCCCTCTGATCCTGTTATTTTATTCCAGAGTTCAAAGTGTGGCTCTAGAGAAACCCTGTCTCAAAAAAAAAATGAACAAAAAAATAAAACAAAGCAAAACAACAACAACAAAATGGGGTACAAAGTGTTCTTTGCTTCTCAAATAAAGTCCCCCAACCTTCAGTCAGGCTGCGTTTTCTAGGGAACGCCAAGCCATCGGTGCCTCCTGCCTCCTGTCCAGCCCAGTTTAGCTTAAGGAGGCTCTAAAACCCCAGATTTGGTCCCCAGGCTCCTCGCTGACCTTAAATCTCAAACTAGTCTCAGCCCTACTTTTACTGCAAAGCAGATTGGACATTTAATTACCTCAAATGCATGTATGCCGGGTGTGATGGTTCACACCTTTAATCTCTGCACTTGGAAGGCAGAGGCAGGTGGATCTCCGTGAGTTCGAGGCCAGCCTGGTCTACATAGTGAGTTCCAAGTCAGCCAGAGCTACATACTGAAACCCTGACTAAACAAAAACCAAAAGTGATTTAAATAAAATGTGTATGTGTGCTATTGTGCACGTGTGCATATGTGTGTGTATGTGTGCATGTGTGCATGTGTATGTGCAGACATTTGTGTGTATGTACTGTGCATGTATGTATATGTGTGTACTGTGTGTGTGCATGTGTGCACACATGTATGTGTATAGACCAGAAGACATCTTCCAGATGATCCTCTCCTTCCACCACATGGGTCCCAGGAATCCAGTTTGGGTTGTGGGGCTCAGCAGTAAGCACTTTGACCCACTGAGCACCCCCAGAATGGGCTTTGGTTAAATATTTGATTGGTTTTGTTGCCTTCAGTCTCCTATTTCCAAGGACAGAGGCATTGCCCAAGGTCGACAAGCACCTGTCAGCTGTTATGGCTGGGACTGGCCTGCGGGGGGCAGAAATCACCAGGGCTAAGAAGATAGTGAGTGGCTGCCGTGCCTAGCCCTTTAAGACAGATGCTAGGCAGAGGAAGGAGACAGCTTTTAGGTGCCAAGACAGTGGTCGGGGCCTTGTGTGAGTATTGCTTCATTTACCACCCGCAAAACCCTGAGAGAGGCACTCTGAGTATCTAAGAGACCAAGACTGCAAAAGTTCTGTGAGAATCTGGTCTGCAGAAGGGCATCCTGCCTCTGCATTCCAAGCTCTGACCCCTTCCTCGGTGGTCTTTTTTCTTTTTCCTTTCCTTTTTAAAAAAATATTATTTATTTAATTTTTTTGGTTTTTCGAGACAGGGTTTCTCTGTAGCTTTGGAGCCTGGCCTGGAACTAGCTCTTGTAGACCAGGCTGGCCTCAAACTCACAGAGATCTGCCTGCTTCTGCCTCCCTAGTGCTGGGATTAAAGGTGTGTGCCACTACCACCACTGCCTGGCAATATTTATTTATTTTTATTTTATGTGTATGGGTGTTTTTCCTGTGTGTAAGTATGTGTACCCCATGTGTGCCCAGTGCCTTCAGAGCTCAAGAGAGGGACACTGGATTCCCTGAACCTGGAGTTACAGAGGGTTGTGGGTGCTGGGAACCAAACCCAGGTCCTCTGCAAGAACAGCAAGCACACTTAACGTCTCAGCCGTCCCTCCAGCCCCTCTCAGTGGGTCCTAATGCCGACTACTGATTAGAGTTCCCTAGGGAGCAGAGTAGACAGCTTTCCGCGCTCAGAGAGCCACCTACACCCACAAGACTTTCAGAGCAGGTTCCAACAGTCAGGGCTGAGGACCTGTCTTAGTCTATGCTTTTCTGTTTAGTTAGACCTGAGGCCCAACATAAGCCCCGCTGCTAAGTTGGCAGGTTTGTCATTTCAGAAAGACTTTATAGCTGAGTGTGATGGTGTGTGACTTAACACCACACACAGAGAGGGCACAGTAGGAGGATCCAGGCTTTAAGATCACAACCAATTACCTAGCGAGATCAGGCCAAGGTGGGTCTCAGCGGGTAAAGGTGCCAGCAAGTGCAGCAGCCTGAGTTCCAAACTCAGGATCCTCACGGTAGAAAGAGAAAGCTGCCCTCTGGCTCCCACACACTGCCTCTCCTCACACAGATCAGTAGACATAATTTTAAAAATGAACAGACAAGTTGAGCGGTGGTGGCGCACGTCTTTAATCCCAGCACCCAGGAGGCAGAAGCAGGCGGATCTCTGTGAGTTCGAGGCCAGCCTGCTCTACAGAGTGAGTTCCAGGACAGCCAGGACAGTTTCACAGAGAAACCCTCTGTGAATCCACTCCCAAACAACAATAAACAACAACAACAAAATCCAACAACATAAACACCACAAACCCAGCACCTGAGAGGCAGAGGCAGGAGTCTCCTCCACAAGTTCAAGGCTAGTCGGAGCTACAGAGCAGACAATCTGTTTCCTAGGTTTTACAGGAAACCCTATTACCCAGTATAGCCCATGTCTCCTTTTCAGATTCTGTCTACAAGCCTCTCCCGATCTCCACAGACCAAGTTACAGCTCTCCCCTGTCGTTATCAGAGTTTGTGGGTCTCTTTCTTAGCATTTATCTTAAAATTGGTAAATAACTGTGCTCCTCACTTGCGGCTGCCCACCAGCGAGGATGTAAACTCCTCTTCCTCCTCATTGTTCCCACAGCCAAGCACAGCGCCCGGCACATAAACGCTGGGCAAACGATACTTCCTTCTTCCACTTGAATAATTACTTATCGGTGCCTATTATGTACCACAGGCTTTCCTGTATGCACTTTATTAGCCAGACAGGGAAAGTCCCATTTTCTAACGGAGGAAACCGAAGCTCAGGAGTGAAAGGCGATCACAGGCAGAGCCGAGTCTCAACCTCAGACCCCAGATCCTTTCTCGCTCATGGGAGGACATTGAACCTGACCTCTGGGTCAGAATAGTCCCTCCTTCCTGCTGTTTTGCATCTGTTAGCTGTCTGTTTTTCCCTTCCCAGCTCCGTGCCATCTTTACCCTCTTTCCTGCCCCTTAGCTGGTCCCACGCAGGCTCCTCCTTTTGTCCTCGGGGAGTGGCCTCTCCCCCTTTTCCCCTCCTCCTAAGAGTATGACCCAAACAAGGCATCAAGAAATTGCCTTGGCTAAACCATTCTCTGGTCAGCAACTGCACCACAGCCATGGTGAACCAGCCAGCGATCTACTTTATAGCCTCCTAGGACAGAGTCTGTGCCACCCACTGGGCAATGTACCCAGCCATCTTCCTAATGAGATTTCTAACCAGACACCCAAACAGGACGAAAGTCCCCCGGAGAGGAAGCAGTCTGGGCTGAAGTATGTGATTGCATCAGGGGCCTGGGCGTGGGTCAACGTCCTCTTCCGTCTCTGGCGCCCCCTGCTGGGGAAAAGCTGGATACAAGGAAACAGGAATCTCTGGGTACCGGCTACAAAAGCAGCTCTCAAACAAGGACATTCGAGGCTTGGAAAGAATTTTCTTGCCAAAGCAAGAATTTGGAAGGATAAGGAATATCCAGTCATTTGTAAAGTTCCAGCTGTTGGACTTCGAGGACCATTTTAAAAAGACAGCCTCCCTGTTCTGCACGCCAACGAAAGAGCCTCAATCAGGATTAGGCACAGAATGAGGGCGACCAGAGACCTTGGTCACGTCCTCTGTTCCAGAACCTCCTCCATCCTGCTCCTCCTCCCCATATCTTGGCTCCCCAAGGGTCAGGGAGCCTTCATAGAGCAAAGAGAGCAGAAGGAAATAGCTAACTACAGCTGTGGGTTCAGCTGCACCGCCAGCCCCGAGCCTCATGTCAACGACGAGGCAAGTGTGAAAAACAGAGTGTAATAGAGACGTCAAAAGACCTCCCAGGCCCTCGACTGAGAACTACCCAGATGCCCATCTAGCTGGAACTGCCAGTGACTGCTGAAGCATGCTTGTCCGGCTCACTGCTCTGCAGAAGAGGCATCCATCTCCCTAGGGTCCTGTGTGTGCATGCATGTGTGTGGTGTGTGTGGTGTACGTGTTTGCAAGCTGCAAGGCACCCTGGCTTTGGGGGCCCAAACTAGCCAGCTTTCCCTTCTGGCTCGGCTGGCCTAATTCCCAGCTGCAGCTGCTACCTTGGGTCCCCCTCCCCAAGGCAATCTCCCTGCATATTTGGCGACATGGAAAGGAGGGGCTGAGGGAAGGGGAGAAGCTGAGAAGAGACTCTAATGCTCTAATCTGATGTTGGCGATCCGAAAGGCTTCCCAGCGCCAGTGCCCTCTGCCGTCAACTCTCCAGAGGCTCTTTTCGGTGCCATGCACCCTTCCCTTCTGCCTTTGTCTCCTTAAGAAAGTTAAACCTAGATATACAAATACACATACAAACCACCCGGAAAAAAAAAAAAAAGCGGCAGGAGCAGGCAGACGAGCACGCGCACACAGGCTCAGCTCTGTCCTGGAGGAAGAGCGGCACAGGCAGAGACGCTAGGGTTGGCAGTGACCCAGACTGAGGTCTCTTGGCCCCCCCAGGCGCCTTCTTCATGGACCCAGAGATCGCCAGTGGGGCTGCATCAGTGTAGGATGGGCAACTGCGTCAAGTCGCCATTAAGAAACCTCTCTAGAAAGGTATGTTTGGAACCCCCAAGTCCCTAAGGTTGGGGGCATCCTGCTGCCTGCACCAGGGGGCATGGAGTGGGTGGGTACCTGATGATGCTCGCTACTCTTCCAAGGGTGTCTGCCCAATACTGTGTCCCTGTTCCAACTTCAAGGTACTCTTCTTAGCAGATTCTTATGTCCTAGGCAGGCTCTGAACTAAATAAAGTTAAGACTGAAGGGTAGGGGTGGAGGAGTAACAGAGTCGGGGAAGGCCATATTTGGGATTCACACAAGAGCTAAGAAAAAAATCCTGTGACTTTGGGACTTCTGGGGTGTAGCATGAAAGGTGAGGATTCTTAGGCTGTCAGTGCATAGCCATCCCCGAGTCTTACAGAATCAGATACCCTTGAGGAGCAGGCCCGAGGGCTCGTAGGGGGTCTGTGTTTCTTGCTGGTACTCTCTAAGCCTTCAAAATTGGGGTTTGAAGAAACCCCATGAACCAAACAAATTTCTCCTTTTGCTTCTACTCGCAATAATTCTTGAGTCAGGTGTGAGAGTGTCAAAGGACCAGGTCTTAGAGCCAGGGTGACTTCTTTTGAGAAACACGGTGCCCAAGAAATATGTGGGTCAGGAGCCTACATGAGTGTCACTTTCCAGGGTGGATTTATTGCATTCTACGCTGTGACAAGATTCTTTTGTCAGAATTCCTTTGGGAAAGCAAGTGTTCTCCCGTAGGGTGTCTTTAGGAAGGTCTGGGTTGTATCTGCAGTGTGTCTTCCAGTCGGGGCTCACCTATATTGTTAATCTTTTGTAGTCAGGCCATAGACCCGTGTTAAAGAAGACGGCACTGATAAAGATATTTGCCTCCCGTGTTTTTATTTTCCAAATAAGAAATGGTTGCCAATTGAGGGGGCCAGGGATCAGAGGGTCAGGTGACTTAGGTAAGGTTTTGGATTGGTGGATGGAGCCTTCACGTGGGTCCCACCCCATCTTCTCCATTAGGTTTCTGACCTCTCGATTTAGGACACTTGGGGCTTTTTAGCCTATCGTCTCCTTTGGCTAAGCTGTTCACATCAAATTCCATTTAATATTCCCTGCTCCTTGGATTGCTCGGAGCGCTGCTGTTCTGTTGTGTGTCCCCAGCCTCAGGGTCTGTCATTCTCTTAAGGGGAGTCTTCTGCCTCTTAGGGGGGTGATTTGGGGAGACACAAGCTGATCTGAATTAGAGAGGCTGCCAGGTGAACACCAATACAAAGGGTCGTAAGCTTGAGGAGGTAGATTTAGGAACGAGCTCTTTCCTCTGCCTCCTGCCAGACAGGTCTCCTCTTTTTGCTCAAGTGATCTTGGACAAATTAACTTTCTGTGGCTTAGTTCCTTTCACTACCAATCACTTGGGACTGCTAAATTCTACCGATATCTTCCAGTGTGTGTATATTAATGGGGATCAAACCCAGAGCTTCACACATGCCCCAGGCCTAAGGTGGGGTTTTTTGTTTTGTTTCATTTTATTCTGCTTTTTAGAAACAAGAGCTTACACCGGAGCCTACGCCTTTGCATCTCGCGTATTGGGATTATAGGTGTGAGCCAGTACAGCTGGCTCCTAATGCTTAACTCTTTTCTTTTTCGCTTTTTTTCCTTTTTCCTTTTTAGACAAGAGCTCACTGTGTATCTGTAACTGGCCTGGAACTCGCTAGAAAAACCAGGCTGGCCTCAAACTCAAAGATCTTATGACATGCCTCACCACCGCCAGTTCCTGGTATGTCACTCTCAGAATGACGTGTGCTGTGCACGATGCTAAGTGGATAGTACTAGACACGCTAGGATTTCATCTCCACCAGACATAAACAGTGGGGCAGAGAAGTGGAGATCATGGGGATGGTCGCCACTGCCTTCAGGATTTTGGTTCTGTTTTTGCTGTTTGTTTTGTTTTTGAGGTGAGGCCTCTGTGGTAGCTCAGGCTGGCCCAGAACTTGCTCTGTAGCCCAGACTGGCCTGGAACCCATATGTTGGAAATATAGTATAAGCATGAGCCATCACCCAGGCAGAGCATTTATTCCTCAGAGCCTTGTGTATGTAAGGCCTGAGCCTCTACCACCGAGTCACGGTGCACCTGGAGAGGTTCTGGATCCACTGGACACGTGATCTTAAGTCTTAGCAATTATTTCTTTTTCTGGTTTATTTGCAACATATCAGACATCTGCCATCTCACTCGCTCTTTTCCACCAAATAGTCCCCTGGGCTAGTTTGCAGGAAAGCGAGCTGGATTCAGAGATAAGGGTTTCCAAGGTCACTCAGTCGCCAGCAAGCAGAGCTGGGATTTAGAGCCTGTACCATGTAAAGTCAGAGCTAGTATTTTATGTGTGCTTTTTCGTTCTCCCACTGCCAGAAATGTTATTAATAAATTCTCAAATATGATCTCCGTGATCATCGAGTCCGACTCCCTAATCGGTGCAGCACAATGTCCCCTCCCATCTCATTCAGCACACACTCCTCAAGCTCTCCTTGGCCACGAGGGGGGGCGGTTGACCTGTGTGACCTCAGCCAGCTTTTGTTGCTCCAGAGCCAGAGATCATGATGTTCTCTGATGAGCTGGCCTCTCCTGGTTCCAGGCCCCTGGCTCAGCTTCTTCAGTGGAAGCTGGGGAGCTGGACACGGTGATAGGTAGCCTGTTTCAGGCCCTGAACTGGGCAGGACCAACCTGTCAGGTGCCATCATCACCGGCTAGGGAAGAATGGCTACCTCCTGGGACAACCTGGTGCCAGGCCGAGTTATAATCAAGAAACGCAGTGGAAATTCCCCGCCACCACTGGTTCCTTCTTTTTGGGAGCAAATTCTTCTCCATCCATCTAATGCCTTTGCTGATTGACAGATGTTCCCCACTGCCTCCTGGCACCCAACATCTCTTAACTTGCTCTACCAACTTCGCTATTGTCACCATCATCATTGCCGTAACTACGGCAACTTCGGTTATTTGGCTTTTACTGCGTTCTAAACACTGTACAAAGCACTTTGTAGACAGAAGCTCATTCATTGCTCACGAGACCTTGTGGATAGGTGGATAGAGATGATTGCCCCTAGGGTGTGGAGGATGCTGGGGCACAGGGAGATGATGCGAGCTGTGCAAGGTCGTATAGCAAGCAGGTGGCAGGCCAGAGCTTTTCCCAAGATGGTGTCCGGAGCCAACACATTAGGGTTCTGTACCACCTGCCACCGCCTCCTTCTTGGACTGTGCTTCTCCTGAGCCAGCATGTGTGAGATTCAGCCTAAGACAGAAAGTCTGCTTCTCCACAAACACCTCCAATACCATTGCTTCCTGGAGTTAGCCCACACCCGCCCTCATTTAGTCCCGGGCTTCTCTTGGACCCCTTCTTAGAGGGAAAGACTCTATTCTTTACTAGTTCCTGCATAGGTTCCAGGGTGTGAGCGGATGGAGAGAGATTCCAGGTAGAGTGGGCCTTGGTCTGCCTGACATCCTTTGTGTTCAGATATTCCCTACAACTACCCCGGCCTTGGTCTGAGATGCTGCATCTCCTTTGAGGACCTGACATAGTGCTCTTCCTTCTCTAGGTCTGGAAGGGGCTTAGGGCCTTTGGGGGGTGGGGTAGGATTGAGTCTCCATCAACAGCCCCTCTGGAGGAGGGCTTAAGGGAGAAGTTTGAGAGGACAGGGCAAGGGAGGGTCCTCCAGGCCAAGCTGCCCGAGTCCATGCGACTTTTGCTCAGCTAGAGGCAGCTAGTTAGAAGAGGGCTGGTTGGGACAGAGAGAATGCAGCTCTGTGTGTCTCAGGCAGACAGTTCTCTTGGGAGTCCAGCTACCCTGCCTGTCCTTGGGGATGTTCTGCTACTGACTCCCACACTGAAGAGAGGCTGTCCCCTGTAGGGCACAGTGCTGGGGCCTGGATTCTTGAGAGGCACTGGGCATGCTGGGAGCCTGGGTCCAGCCATATGTTATGTCTGGATGCTGCTGTTATCCTAAGGGGAGGGTCCGTGGAGCAGTGCTGACTTTTTATAACTGTGGGAATTTGCAGGGAGGACGAAGGGCTTGCCGGGGCCTGAGAGCGCAGCTATATTCGGTCAGCTGGCGAGGCCCCAGCCACAGCCTCTAGAGGTCAAGCAGGCCAAGCCAGCCTGGGCATGGGGCCAGGGAAAGAGGGAGGGTAGGCAAGGGAAGTTGTTGGAAGCCTGCCCAGTCGTGCCGTCACAAGCAGGTGGAATCTGGGTACAGGTGGGTCTTGTCGGACCACTGGTGCTTTGAACCAGGTTTGGCACCTGTGGGCTGGAATGCAGGAAGTAGAGCCGTCCTTTTAGGGTGGGTACACAGCACCCATTGCGCCTATCCCCACCATTCGCAGCCTACCTGCCTCATTTGTCAACAATGGCATCTATGTTTGCGACCTCTAGTCAACAGACTTGCTGAGCCTGTTTGCTCTCTGTGTGACTAGCTCTGCTCATCCTCTGGGCCGTCCAGTGGCGATGGGGGGGGGGGGGGGGGGGGAGTCCAGCTGGGGCAGAGTCTGAGTTCATCAGAAATCTGGGAGACAGGATGTAGGTCTGAGGGTTGAGCTGAGACACTAGGAACACTTGTGGGAAGGACACGGTTCTGTGTGACACTCTGGGTTAGGGTAGAAGCCTCCCTCTGCTTCACTCTGTGAACCGCATGCACACAAGTGCGTGTTTTCCTGTGTATATGTGTGTGTGTGTGTATGTGTGTGTATGTGTGTGTGTGTGCGCGCCCATGCATGAGGGCACCTTACTTCAAGCATCACATCTAACTCTCCAAGGATAACTATTTCAGCCAGTACTGGAGCCTCCATCTGTTGGACCAATTATAAACCGCCCTTGTACAGGCTAAAGCTCTCAGAACTTTACCACGTGACTCTCAAGGATCTCCTAGGATCAACAGCCAGGCCTGGGGCTGGGAGGGCCCAGATGAACGGGGAGGTGACGCCTCACCTCTCTTTTTATTTGCTTGGTGTTGGTTGAAGATGCGCCAGGAGGAGAAGACCAGCTACAAGGTGGTCCAGGCAAGTGAGGAGGGACTGGCAGCCGGCGGCGAGCTCCCAGGACCACTCTTGATGCTGGCACAGAACTGCGCCATCATGCACAACCTGCTGGGTCCTGCCTGCATTTTTCTTCGAAAGGGTTTTGCTGAGAACAGACAGCCTGTACGTAAGTTGGCCAGCTGCAGCTGGCTGAACTTGGCTTCACAGGGCATGAGGAGATGCTGGGAAGAAAGGGGGTTCTGTACGTAGCAGCCCCTATCTTCAAGCCCCCAACTTAAGAATCTGATTCTTGGCTCCAAAGTGAGTCTGTATCAACCAGCAAGAAAGAATTAAAGCGGGGGCTGGAAGGATGGCTTAATGGTTAAGAGCACTGGCTGTTCTTCCAAAGGAGCCAAGTGTGGTTCCCAGCACACACTAGGTCGTGTCTCCAGTCCCAGGGGATCTGTTACCCTCTTTTGACCTCCGTGAGCATCAGCCATGTATACCATACACATATACTCATGCATGCAAACCACTCAGATGAAATAAAATAATGCTAATAAAAGATTTTTAAACAAAATAATAAAAGCAGAGACTGGGGAGATGGTATTTGGTAAAAGACCTGAGGTTAGTCCCCATCGCTCACTAAAGATGAGCATGGTGATGGGTGGGTCTTGCAATGGGTGCTGGGTGGATCAGCGACAGGAAGAGCCCTGGGCTCACTCGCCAGCCTAAAACAAGTGAACCTCAGGCCCCAATAAGGGACCTTGTCTCAAAACATAAGGTGGATTAGGCCGGAGATGGGCTGGCGAGATGGCTAAGTGGTACTGCTCCTTCAGGAGACCTGAGTTCAGTTCCCAGTACTCATGCCAGGCAGGTCATGAGTAACTCTAAACCAGCTCCAGAGAGAGCTGATGCCCTCTGGCCTCCTAGAGTATCTGCACTCATGTGTGTGCACACAACCCATAAAAAAAAAAAAGGTGGAGGGAACGTAAAAAACAACATTCAAGGTTGACTCCTACATATGCAAGCACACACACACACCTATACATATATCCCTGCACACACCCCTCTACACACCTCTGCACATATACACTTACACTGACACCCTTGCACACACACCTACACACCCACCTGCACATACATACCTGCACACAACACTGCTACAATACTGCCAGCACACATACCTGCACAGACACCCCTGCACACACACATACCTGCACACACGCCTACACACACACATACCCTTGCATACACACGTACCTCACACACACAGATAAATAAATCAGCATATACAATCCTTTGGGAGCCTTACAGAGTGCCCACGGAATGCTGAGGAAAGCAAGACTCTGCTAAATGTCTTGGCAATTTGTCTCCTAAAAGCCCCATCTCCCAGAGGCAGGTACTTCTATCATCCCCATTTCACATGTGGGGAAACTGAGTTGGATGCAGTAGCATACTTGAGGTCACACTAGCAGTGTCAGGGGTAGGATTCAAATGCGGATAGCCCAGCTCCGCAGATTCTGTGCTCTTACCAGCAATTCTGTGTACTCAGATGCTCTCCTGTTATCCTACCCCGTGATATTCATTGTAGTAGCCCTGATCACTTGTGGCTAGTGACCTCTAGGGATATAGCTAATGAACAGAATTATTCATTTTTATTTTATTTTCATTAAAAGCTGTTTTTGCTGAGGATTGAGTTCAGGGTCTTGTATATGCTAAGCATATGTTCTATCCTGAACTCTTCCTCAGCCCTCCAACTCAAATGTAAGTAGCCATGTGTGGTCAGTGGCTGCTGTACTGAATAGCCTCCTACAGGTCTGAGTTGCCACAGGGAAGCGGGTAATGAGAGTGTCATGGATACAAACATTTGTAGATTGCATTGGTTAAATTTCACGTGCTGAATACTTGCCTTGAGGAACGCACATAAAGGCCTGTGAAGTAAGTACTGTTACAGAGCCATGTTACAGCTGGCGGGGCTTAGAGAATGGGAGTGACCCTCAGCTAGGCGGTAACAGCTACAAGCTTCGCACCTGAGCCGGTCTGACTTTAGGTTCTGGGGACTTCTCTCTAACTGCATAACCTGGGAAGGAACTATGTATGTTCCCAATGCTTCCTGCCCGCCCCTGCAGGATTAGTGCATATTTCAGTGTGTAACCCTACTACACACATGCTCCTCCACTACCCTGCATGGGGTTGGGGGCGTTGGGTGAGCCTGGGAACAGCCACCAGGCTGCTGTTGCGGGTTCACTGAGAGGAAGTGCCTTGCTTTGCCTCCCCTTGGAAGTTTGGAGCACAGTGGGGCAGAGTGGAAGAGTCTGCAGTGTACTCTTCCTCCCCCAGACCTGCAGAACTCGGCCCTGGAACAGCAGCAAGCTGCTTAGGGTTTGGGATGGGAAGTGAACTCTAGTGAAGCAGCTTGTCCCACTGAGTCTTCTTTGCACACTTGTGTACACATGCATACAGTCAGTTCCCCATTTCCTGGAGTCCCCGCATTTGGGGATTAAAAAACAGTAGATTAAGAAATGATTTGATGGGCTGGAGAGATGACTCAGAGGTTAAGAGCATTGCCTGCTCTCCCAAAGGTCCTGAGTTCAATTCCCAGCAACCACATGGTGGCTCACAACCATCTGTAATGAGGCCCGCAGGAAGAATACTGTATACATAATAAACAAACAAATAAATATTAAAAAAAAACAAAAAAACTTAAAAAAATGATTTGATTTATTTATCTTCGAGACAGGGTCTCTCTGTGTAGCCCTGTCTTTCCTGGGCTTTCCTTGTCTTTACTCTGTAGACCAGGCTGGCCTCGAACTCAGAGATCCACCTGCCTCTGCCTCCCAAGTGCTGGCCTGGCAAGAAATAATACTTTTAAAATTGGCGTCTGAGGCTGGAGAGACGGCTTAGCAGATAAAGGTGCTGCCAAGACAGGAGACCTGAGTTCAGTTCTCAGAACTCACAGGGTTGAAGGCAAGAATCAACTGCTGTAAGTTTTCTTCTGACCTACACACACGCACACACATACACACATACACACGGACACACACACACACAGACACACACACACACATGCACACACATACATGCACGCATGCACACACATACACACATGCACACGCACACATGCACACAAATGCACACATACACACACACACATGCACACACACCACAAATGTTAAAAAAAAAAAACTTTTATCTAGGGCTGGAGAAATTGTTCAGCGGTTACAAGCACTTAGTGTTCTTGCAGAGGTCCTAAATTCAGTTCCCAAAATCACCTGAGGCTCACAACTGACTGCAACTCCAATTTTGGGGGATCTGATGTCCTCTGGCCTCTTAGGGCACCAGCCTGCAGGTGGAACACATGCACACATGCGGGAAAAACACTCATATACATCAAATAAAAATAAATCTTTCAAAAATTTTTAAGTAAAAGATAAAACCTTGTACCTGCACTGAAAACACATAGATTTTTTTTGTCCTCATTTTTTAAACAATACAACATAGCAACTATTTGCATAGCATTTGCATCATATAAATAGAATAAGTCATCTCAAGATGATTTGAAGTATGCCAGAGGAGGTATGCAAATTATATGCAAATTGCATGCCATTTTATGTAAAGGACTTGAGCATCTTTGGATTGTGGCATGCCTGGGGTTTCTGGAAATCAATCCCCCACTGATAGTAAGAGATGACTCTACTCGCTTATTTTCACTTACTGATGGTATAATACACGAACATACATCTTTTTGGCCACCCAGGAATGTCCAGGAACATATATTTCGGTCTGGGAGCAGGAGTGACCCTTGCGCCACATACACCCTGCCAGCCTTTAAGGGAAAATCCTCGCAGTACTGTCCTTTAGACAACACTCCCTTCAAGTAACTCTTTCCCCTCAGCTAGAAATCCCTCTGGGAGGACCTGGGAAATCTATAGCCTGCTCATTCCAAACTGACACACACTTTGAACAACAATACAACCGTTCCCTCTCGACAGGATCGTCAGACTGGGTGCCTGTATCCGGGAGGCACTGTCTCTGGACGCCACTGTCTCCACCATCATTGGCCCCACTGACCGAAACAGTCGTGGTGCACAGCTGAGCTGCCTCATGCTCAGCACGGCATCTCTATACATCTGTGTTAATGATATGGGTCCTTGTTCCTGCTGTGAGCCTCCTTAGGGTCACAGACCTGCCTCGTACTCTTCCCATTCGAAGGCAGAGAGCTGGAACATGGGTACCCATATCTGTTCTGTACCTGTCTGTCTCCTTCCCCGGCAGACCTGGGGTGATGGATGTCCCCATCAGGACCCTTCCCCATGTCTCCCTAAATTTGCTTTTTGGAGATTTCTCTGGTACCAGTTTTAATGCCAAGTTTCTGTGGTTCCCTATGGAGATACGGGCTCTGCTGGGGGCTGCAGAAGCTTGCTTTGGACACTGGCCGTCCCGGGTCCTATGCTGTGTCCTGTAATGGGCAGGGTATAGGCTTGTGGTCACATTGGGGAAAGGTGGGGACAGTATCCAGGATGCTGGGCACAGCTCCAATTCTTCCTCATCTAACCTAAATCTCCTGTTCTCCTTCTGGGGCTACCTGTGTGGTCCCCTATCTCCCACTGTCCTGCTCACTTCTGATGCCTGGCTCCTCCTGTGTGTTCTTGGGTGGTGACTGCCCCTGGCCCTGTTTTATTTACAGGTTTCAGCCTCTGGACCAGCTTTGTTCCCAGCTCATTCTTGCATCTGGAAAAGGGTGGCCCCGTTTCTGTGGGGACTGTTGGGTTTGGGACTCCTCCGTCAACACTCTTCCATGACTCTAAGACTTGGGGGACTGCTTCTCTTCCCCCATCAAAGTCCAGAAAGACCTCTGCTCAGTTCCTATCACTCCCCACCTAGAGCCTGCTGCCACTTGGATGGCCCCCATTGGATGGGCATCTTGTGAGTTCTAGGTCCCTTGCTGCTGCTAATGTGACCTGTTCTCTTGTTTCAGGACAGATCATTACGGCCAGAGGAGATCGAAGGTAAATTAGGCCCTCAGGGGAAAGGGCTGCTCTTCTCCACTGGAAGGTGGGGTGGGTTTTGTTTTCATTGTTGTTGTTGTTTTTGTTTTTATGAGACAGGGAAACAGGGTTTCACTGTGTAGTCCTGGCTGTCCTGGAACTCACTCTGTAGACCAGGCTGGCCTCAAACTCACAGAGATCCGCCTGCCTCTGCCTCCTGAGTGCTGGAACTAAAGGCGTGTGCCATCACCACCCGGCTGGTTTTTTGTTTTTTTTTTTTTTTGAGACAGGGTTCCTCTAGCTAGTCCTGGCTGTCTTGCAGCTCACTATGTAGAATAGGCCTGCCTTGAACTCACAGAGAGCCACCTACCTCTAGGTGTTGGTGGGAAGAGTCCCAGGCACAAAGCAGGGCACACTGGGCAGGCAAGAGCCCTAGAGGACTCCAGGGTCTACCTCTGTGAGCTGGTCCTGGGTTGTCTGTACCTGAGACGTCTTGGGGTCCTCTCTCCAACCACATCTGCCCCTGCTCGTTTCCCCAGAGCTTCGAGAGGCCTTCCGAGAATTCGACAAGGACAAGGACGGCTATATCAACTGCCGGGACCTGGGGAACTGCATGCGTACCATGGGCTATATGCCCACTGAGATGGAACTCATTGAATTGTCCCAGCAGATCAACATGAACCGTGAGTCCCTGTCCTCCAGGTCACACAGGCCTGGCACCAAGTTTTGTATCCAGCTCTGGGGCCCAGTTCAAGCCACTTATCTTTTGAACCTCAGTTTCCTCCCATGTAAAACAGGCTTGTAGTGAGACAGGAGAAGTAAGTTAGCAGATAGGTGAGTAACAGCCTAAAATCTGGCTCACAGTAAGAAATCAGAGGGTGCTGTTAGCATTATGAGTTCCTCTATCTTTATCTGGGTTCTCCAGAAATAGGGATCTAGGTTTAAGGCGTTTATTGAATAAGGGAAGGAAAGTACAGGAGGGAGCAGGGCCGTGGGAAGGGGCCCACACAGGACAGACTCACACCAACTGCTGCCCAGGGCACTACAGCGTAAACACACCCAAGTTGCTATAGAAGGCTGGCGGTAGTGGCGCACACCTTTAACCCCAGCACTTGAGAGACAGAGACAAGCAGATCTCTATGAGTTTGACACCAGCCTGGTCCACAGAGCGAGTTCCAGGACAGGCTCCAAAGCTACACAGAGAAACCCTGTCTTGGAAAAAAAAAAAAAGAGTTGATATAGGGACAGGGAATGGCTCAGTTTGTCTCGCATATTCAAAGCCCTGGTTTGGCTAGCGTGATTGGCCAGCAAGCCCTAGGGATCCTTCTGTCTCCAGCTCCCCGCTGCTGAGAGCACAGATGCACAGACTGCTTCAGTCAGCACTGGGGAGATAGAGAGAGAGGGTCAGCTCTAGATGAGGCCTGAAGAGATGGTCCAGCAGTTATGGGCACTGACTGTTCCTCTGGAGAACTCAAGTTCAATTCCTAGAACCCACATGATGGCTTATCACTGTAGCTCCAGAAGCCTCTGAGCCCTTCAGGCTCTGTGGGCATCAGGCATGCACATGGAGTACAGACATGCACGCAGGTGAAAAACTCACACACATAAAATAAAGTAATAAATCTTTTTTAAAAAAATCTTTAAAAGAAACTCAAGGTCGGGCTGGAGAGATGGCTCAGAGGTTAAGAGCACTGACTGCTCTTCCTGAGGTCCCGAGTTCAATTCCCAGCAACCACATGGTGGCTTACAACCATCTGTAATGAAATCTGGTGCCCTCTTTGGCGAGTAGGCATATATGCAGACAGAACATTGTATACATAATAAAAAATAAAAATCTTAAAAAAAAAAGAAATTCAAGGTCATCTTCAGCTACATAGCAAGTCTGAGGCCAGCCTGGGATACATATGACTCTGTCTTGATGAAGATGATGGTGATGGTGGTGATGATGTCAAGAGAGGCAGTATAAACCTATAATTCCAGGGCTGGAGAGATGGAGACAGCTGAGGCTTGCTGACCTAGTACCTGAATCAGTGAGCTATGAGTTAGTGAGAAACCCTGCTTCGAAAATAAGGAACATGCTTGGCATTGACCTCTGGCCTTTGCAGATGGACATACACCTGCATACACTAGACATAGATAAACATTCAAAAATAAATGTTATGGGGAGTCCCCTAGCCCTCCCACCCCCAGCCCCGTGTTCCCTGTGCTGCGCTCAGTCCCTGCTGAAAGTTGTAGTCAGCAAGTAGGTGCCCAGTCTCCTTCCATCTCCTGAGTCACTTGGGAGTTGAATTTGTATTTGCACAGCTAAAGTAAAATAAGGCTTGGGGCACGTGGAGCAGGTACCCATAAATCTTGTCCTCTTAGCCTTCCTCCGAAAGCATCTTCTCCATTGAAGTTCTTCACCCCGATCTGCCACCCAATGCTTCTTTCTCCTGTCCCTGTTTCCTTTTTGTCGACTGCTCCTTTCCCACTCCCTGGCCACTCCTCGAGTCATTCTGTGGCAAGCCCCTTGTCTGTGGTCTGTCCTCCTTGCCTTGGTCACATCCTGGGCCTGGAGATGGGGGCGACCACAGAGGTTCCCTAGAGGGCAGTGGGTAGGTCGAGGATGACCCATGCCATTCTCTTTGCTCCAGTGGGCGGCCATGTGGACTTCGATGACTTTGTGGAACTAATGGGACCTAAACTCCTGGCAGAGACAGCAGATATGATTGGTGTAAAGGAACTGAGAGATGCCTTTCGGGAGGTGAGTGATGGATGCTGACAGGCAGGGGTGGGCAGGGCGAGTCCCAGTCTCAGAATGACTTTGAAGGGTTCTGAATCCCTGGGCCCCAGATCACGGGAGGGAACTTGGTTAGAAAAGGAACCCTGGCCTAGGGGCCACTGGTCAGCTTTGAGGTTGCTGCCCATCCGTGCAGTCTCTGTTTCTCCTTCACTCTCCAGTTCGACACCAATGGTGATGGGGAGATAAGCACCAGTGAGCTGCGAGAGGCCATGAGGAAGCTGCTGGGTCATCAGGTGGGACACAGAGACATCGAGGAGATTATCCGTGATGTGGACCTCAATGGAGATGGACGAGTGGACTTTGAAGGTAGAGGGTCTGGAAACCGCTGTGAGACTGCGGTGCACCCAGCCCTTCCTCCCTGCCTTTCTTCCGTCTTACCTGTATCTTACCTGTGTATACACCGATCCACCCCCATCCCCCGCCCCACTCCTGCATCCATCTACTTGGCCACCTTTCATACCTCTCACTTGCTCGAACCTTCATCTGTCCAGATGCCTGTTCAGTTTTTCATCATCTCTAAAGTCATCCATACAACCGTTGGTCCACGTATTTATCCTTCCGTTCATTCTGCTCTTTATCTGTCCTCTCATCCATCTCAGTATCTTTGTCCCCGTCCACACCTCTGTCAGCCCGCATCTCCGTCCACCCACACCTCGGTCCACCTGCTCCTCCGTCCTCCCACTCCTCCATCCGTCTGCCCACTCCTCCATCCGCCCACTCCTCCATCGGCCCACTCCTCCATCTGTCTGCCCATTCCTCCATCCGTCTGCCCACTCCTCCATCCGCCTGCCCACTCCTCCATCCCGCCTGCCCACTCCTCCATCCGTCTGCCCACTCCTCCATCCGTCTGCCCACTCCTCCATCCGTCTGCCCACTCCTCCATCCGCCTGCCCACTCCTCCATCCGTCTGCCCACTCCTCCATCCGTCTGCCCACTCCTCCATTCGTCTGCCCACTCCTCCATCCGCCCACTCCTCCATCGGCCCACTCCTCCATCCGCCTGCCCACTCCTCCATCTGCCTGCCCACTCCTCCGTCCACCCGCACCTCTGTCGGCCCGCACCTCTGTGCTCTGTTCCTATAGTCATACTCCTTCCAGCTGCCTGTACTTCTACTGGTATTTCCATTGAGCTCTCTGTCAGTCATTTCCCCATGGATTTTATATCCATCTGTTCATACATTTATTCATCCTTGTGTCTGTCCTCCCCATCTGTCTGTCTGTTCACTCATCATGCTGTCTTCTGAGGACCATACTCTTTGGCCTGACCTTAGCCTGTGACATCTGACCACAGCTCACTGTCCCAGTCACAGTATCTACCATTCCTTCACTCTGAAATACTCGAGATATGTTAGCCTGTGAAACCCTCCTGTGAATATGCTGTTCTTTGTGCCGGGTGCTGTTCATTTTATTTTCCACTTAGGTTAAATTGTTTTAATTGTGTCTGTCCACCCATCCATCCAACCATCTAGAATATATGTGTGTCGTTCCATGGCATGAGTGTGGATATCAGAGGATAACTTGCAGGGTTTTTTTTCTTCCATCAAATGATCCCATGGCTCAAACTCAGGTCTTCGGGCTTGGCAGCAAGCGCCCTTACCTCCTCAGCCATCTTGCCCACCCTTGAGTGAAATTCTGTTTATTTTCTAAGACCCAGTAGTGAGAGTCCTTCCCAGAACACCTCTTCCCTCTTCTGCAGACTGAGCCTCTACTTTTCCAGCCCTTGTAGCACTTCACAGAGATGCCTTACAAAGATGCAGCGTGGAGGTGGGGGAGGAGCAGCCTCGAAGCCGGGGCAATAAGGACGGACCGACGGTGGTAGTGTTCCTACTGGCTCCTGACTGGCACTGTCTCCACCCTTTCCTGTCTCCCTCCCAGAGTTCGTCCGGATGATGTCCCGCTGAGGCCTCCAGGGCTTCTCCAGGACTGCCAACTCCCACTTGCTGGGAAAAGAGCCGAGCGCGCCTCGCTCGCTCCGCAGTAGATGCCCAGAGCCCAGGATGTACTGGCGGATGGGGCCTGCCTGCACCCCGGGGAGGTGCCCACCCCGGATCCCCACCCCTCCGCACTGTGAAAGACTCACAACTCCTGCAACTGGAAAGGGGCGCCCACCAGCGAGGAGGCCACAGTGCCAAGCCGCTAGAGGACGTGCAAGGCGCCAAGTGCCATGTGCCCAGTCGCTGGGTGGGCCAGGGAGCCCGCCAGCAGACCCCACACAGCATGTCTGCCCCGGGGCAGAGCCTTTCAGCGCCCTCCTGAGCTCTATGCCCGTCCCAGCTCGCCTAGCCCTTTGATCTCAGAACCAATAAAAAACGAGAATGTCAGCCAAGGTGTTCTTTGCTTTGGGCCCCATTAGAGGATATTCACCCTTCCCCAGAACCTCCTGCACGCCCAGTATTGGATGTAATTTCTTGCCTGCCACATACATTGACTGAGTAACCGTTTTGTACCCAGAAATTTCTAGTCTCATATAGTACATAGGCCAGAATGTGGCTCCTTTTTTTTTTTTTTTTTTGGTTTTTCGAGGCAGGTTTCTCTGTGGTTTTGGAGCCTGTCCTGGAACTAGCTCTTGTAGACCAGGCTGGTCTCGAATTCACAGAGATCCTCCTGCCTCTGCCTCCCGAGTGCTGGAATTAAAGGCGTGCGCCACCACCGCCCGGCTAGAATGTGGCATTTTTTGAGGCAAGGTTTCTCTATTTAACAGCCCTGGGTGTCCTGGAACTCTAGACCAGGGCTCAAACTCACAGAGATTTACCTGAGCTCCTAAGAGACTACTGTGGTTAGCTGAGCAGCTGCCCCAAATACAACCTGGTCCTTTGTTTCTTGACAGAGTCTCTAGTTGGCCTTTCACTAGGAGAAGAACAACCTTGAATTTTTGTAAAAAATTATTTGATTTTTAAGTACAGGTGTTTTGCCAGCATGTATGCCTGTGCACTGTGTTTGTTCCTGGTGCCCAGGGACCCAGAAGAGGGGGTTGGATGCTCTGGAACTGGAGTTACCAGACAATGATAACCTTCCATGTGGGTGCTGGAATGGAACCCAGGTCCTCTGGAAAAGCAGTCAGTGCGTTTAGCCACTGAGTCATCTCTCCAGCTCTGGTCATCACTTTGATCCTTCACCCCTGGATGCCGGCGTGCTGGTGTTACTGGAGAACATTATGGCCCCTGGTTTATGCAGGGCTGAAGGGCAAAGCCAGGGCTTCACCATACAAAGCAAGCATTCTACCAACGGAGCCAGGTCTCCAGCCCCCTTATTCCCTCTGACACAGGGGACAGGAGAGACACGGATGCGTACGAAGAGGGTAAGTACTGGAAAATCACCGGGTAGGGCAGTCCCACCTCCTGACTTCCGGGAGATTTCAGGCGGCTGTGGGAGACAGGTATGGTGGAAGCATGTTCCCGTATGACTACAGAGCATGATCCTGCAATGAAGGAAGCATACGCAGACCCTAAGCAGGGCATACGGAAGCCTGGCCTGCTCTAGGGAGGTGAGAAATACCTCCTTAGGAAGTGATGTCAAGAGCTTTGCCCTGGAGGAAATCCAGAGTGTCCACACAGCTGGCTAGAACCGCTGAGAGGGACAGCAGCTGTGTAGCAGTCAGGCCTTGGACTTGTTTACCGGGTAGCATTGGGTAGTGGTGTGCCCTCTTCGCACTTGTTTCCTCCAGTTTCTGTGAGGCTGGGAAAGAACAAGGCTAGTGCACACTAGGGGTTGGCTCGTGTATCCTTAGGGACCGTCATTTGCCGACTGCCATGGAACTGTGGCACCTGGCAGTGTGGCACACTGAATCAGTTTCCACAGCTGATGGGCTGAAGGACCCCAAAGGAGATCTTTGTGAGGAGCTGTCTAGAGTCTCGGGAAGGCTTGGTGCACACTTGGGTGGCTGTATGGGTATGGCTAGCGTCCTCCATACCTTTGTCTCCCCACCTCAGCACGCTAAAGAATCACTTCAAGAGGGGTAGGGGGTGGTGCAGGCCTTTAATCCCAGTACTCTGCAGGCAGAGGCAGGAGGATCTCTGTGAGTTTGAGGTCAGCCTGGTCTACAGAGTGAATTCTAGGATAGCCAGATACACAAAGAAACTCTGTCTTGAAAAAAACCACATTTTTAAAAATTAATTTATTTATTTATTGTGTGTGGCGGGGAGGGTATTGTATGAAGGTCAGAGGATAACTTTCGGGAGTCAGTTTTCTTCCACCATGTGGTTCCTGGTCCTCAAACTCGAGCTGTTGGGCTTGGAAGCAAGAACTTTTACCCACCGAGTCATCTCACTGGCCTAGGTCACAGATCTGGACCCACCTCTGATTCTGATGCCATGTTTGGGGTGAGGTCCATGATTTTCCATCCTTAACACGACCTCAGGAGATTCTGATGCTCATGGTCTGTGGCCCACAGAACTCCATGGTAAGTTCCAGATACACGTGCACTGGTGTGTTTCCAAGCATGTGTGAGAACATGAGAGCATGGAGGTAGATGGAGCATTCTGTGCCCCCCCCCCCCCAACGTCACAGCAGAGGGAGGATACTTGTTCTCAGACCTGCAGGAAACGTGGGAAGGCCTGTGGGCCCCAGCCAGATGCCTGGGTAATCCACATGTCCCAGAGGCCAGCAGGGCTGAGAGCTCTAAATTCTAATAATCCAATTCTGAGACTAAGCCCTTGGCTCTGTGCCCCACTAGGCAGGCCTACAGCCCTGCTTTTCCTATCCTGGCTTAGCTCTGCTCAGGGACTCCAGATGTGTGCTTTACAGAAAGCTGGTCGCTCAATTAGAAGAGAAAGGGCCTCTGTAGATAGCTCTGTCAGCCGGCGGGGGAGCCCTCCAGAAACCCTCCCAGGAGTGAGTGGAGCAAACCTTAAGCTAGGGTTCTTCCATACCTCTGAACACCACAGACACAGCAGATGTGATAAAGGAACTTGAGGACGCAGTCAGGCCTAGCAGAAAGGTCTGCGCATACTCAGACAAGGGGCAGGACTCCTGTCTCCTCTGATGCCTGGGGCTCCCGCCTTACATCTTGGCTTTTCCCACCCATAGGATCTTTAAAGACTAGGTAGGGTTCCATGACTTCTAGAACCAAGATGAATTTCTCTAGACAAGACCTCAGAGCACTCCCTCCCTGTGGGAGCTCCAAGTGTCACCTCAGCATGAACCTATAATCCGAGCACTCAGGAAATGGGGCTGGGAGGATTGTGAAATGGAGGCCAGCCTGAGCAATCACACCCATATACACCCCCACCCTCACCACCACCACCACAACACACTCCAAATAAATAACTAAAATGTAATTTCAAAATTAAAAAAGAAGCTGCTAGGGTGTGGCTTAGTGGTTAGAGTGCTCCTTTGCCATTCACAGAGGCCACAGGATCAGGGATTGCTTCCTCACCCCCAGTTCCTCAAAGACAAAAAAGGGCACTTGCCACAGAGCCTGGAGACTTGAGTTCAATCCCTGAGACCCACGTGGTGGCAGGAGGGAACTGACTCCTGAAAGATCTCTGAGCACCCCGTGTATGTGAGATGGCACCCCCTCAAATGAATAAATGCTTAAACAAACAAAAAATATGACCTAAAAACAAGCAAAAAAATTATAAAATAAAGGGCATAAGTTAAAAACATAGTAAAAATGAAGATGAACTGGGAGAGCTGGTGCACGCCTTTAATCCCAGCATTTGGGAGGCAGAGGCAGGAGGATCTCTGCGTATGAGGCCAGCCTGGTCTACAAAGTGAGTTCCAGAACCATTAAGGCTACACTGAGAAAACCTGTCTCAAAATTCCCCCCCCCCAAAGATCTTGTTTTATGCATACGAGTGTTTGCCTGCATGTATGCATGTCTGTGCAGTACGTGGATGCTGGGTACCATCAGAGAGAGGTCAGAAGAGGGCATTGCATCCCCTAGGACTGGAGTTAGAGAGGGTTATGAGCCACCACGTGACTTCTGGGAACCAAATCCAGATACTCTGCAAGAGCAGTAAACACTCTTAACCTCTCTCCAGCCCCAATTTTTAAATTTTTTAAATTATATGTATGTGTGTGCATGGGGAGGGGATGGGGATGTCCATGCAAGCATGAGTGCTGTGCCCACATGGTCCAGAAGAGGGCATCAGACTCCCTGAAGCTAGAGTTACAGTTGGTTACCTGCTGCTGCCTTACCTGCCTGGGAGCTGTCCACTGCCTGCTCACCTCTCCAGCCCCAGGGGGATTAACATCTGCACAGGAACCTCCTTTTGACTAAAACAAGACAATCAGCTCGAATCCGGATCTACCTTGATTATCTGGAAGTGGCTGCCAGTGCCTTGGCCCTGGTCCTGCTGTGCCTGGCAGGCTCGGGTCGCACACCTACGCTGTCACCTGCTCTTGCTTTCAGCGGCCGAGCTGAGCACAGACTTCTGAGTGTTGGTAGAAATGTAGGGTGTGGCTCAAGTCCTTCACACATACAGTTAGCTCTCTCTCCTGGAATTTTCTCTGAGCTAGGCTTAAAGGTCTCCTCCCTCTTGACTTGGAGGTACTGGACTGATGGCACAGCTTTAACCTCTCCTAGCTGGAGTGTCACATGTCACCTTAGACGCACACCAGAAAGCAAAGTATAATGGTGAACTCCTGTGCTGTGGGATGAGAGGATCACGGTTCCATGCCCACCTGGGCTGCACAGCAAGGCTGTTCCAATATACAAAGTGAAATAAACAAGATTGCCCTTGGTGCCCACGATGTAACTCTGTAGGGTGTTTACTTAGCGTTCACAGAGCCTTGGGCTCGATTCCCAGGACTCTGGAAACAGGCATGGTAGAGTATGTTTGAATTGCAGCATGTAAGAGGTAGGAGCGGGAGTTCAGAGTCATCCTCAGCTACAAGACAAGTGAGTTCTGCCTGGGATACATCATGGGGGATGTATCCTTCCTTCCTTCCTTCCTTCCTTCCCTCCTTCCTTTTTTTGGAGATAAGGTTTCTCTTTGTAATAGTCCTAGCTGTTCTGGAACTTGCTTCTGAGAATCAGGCTGACCTCAAACTCAGAGATCCACCTGCCTCTGCCTCCCGAGTACTGGGATTAAAGGTATGCGCCACCACTGCTCAGCAGGGATTCTTTCTTAAAAAAGAAAAAGAGGGGACTGGAGAGATGGCTCAGAGGTTAAGAGCATTGCCTGCGCTCTTCCAAAGGTCCTGAGTTCAATTCCCACCAACCACATGGTGGCTCACAGCCATCTGTAATGAGGTCTGGTGCCCTCTTCTGGCCTGCAGGCAAACATGCAGACAGAATATTGTATACATAATAAATTTTTTTAAAAAAAAAAGGAAAAAAGAAAGAAAAATGTCCTTGCTATTCCTGTCCCAATACAAT